CCCCCCCTCCATTAGATGGTGAGTCCCGGGACGATGCGTAGGAGCTGACGCGAGAGGCGGCTCTGATGTCAAATGCAAACACGGCGAATGTGGCGTTCCGGCTGGATCCAGTCACAACGGTCATACTGGTGAGTCAAGCCAGCCGAAACTGTGCGCCACACCATCAATCATTAATCGGGTGCTCATAGTGGTCGCCTCGTGCAAGAACAGTGGTCATTTCATTAGGAACGGACAGCTGCTCCTCAGATTTGGAAGTGTTGATTGGAGGTGCGGTGCTCATTTTTTTCAGTGGATGTCTTATATTCATTTGTTGAAACGAAAGGCCATTATTTGAGGAAATATTTACTGTGAAGATCCAGCTTTTGGTCACACTTTTTCGGTGTAACCGGAGTAAGCTTACATTACACAACAGCTGAGTTGGGGAATTAAAATCATCCGTTTATGGTAGGTGAGGCGTTTAATTGTTAAAATGGACACCAGTGCAACAAGACGTTTGAAGCACAGTCACAATTTTATATGGACCAGTCCAATGCGACCTTAAATGCGCATCACCAGCCAATAGGGGAACAGTATCGAGGGGCATTACAATTAATCAGATCAGAATACAGAGAGCTTGCTTATTTTGCCCCATCCAAAAAAAAAAATTTCACTCGATCATAAAAAAGTTTTTTTTTTTTTTTGTTTTTTTTTAGGTACGTGTTAAATAATGCGATCATATAAATATCACTGTGCCAAACACCCATATTGCATCTCGGATGTTTTTCTAGTAGTGTGCATGCAGTCGTATTGTGGAGACACAAAAAAACATTCATTTATTTGAGGTGAGGCATTTTTTTTAAGAGGGCGGATGGGTGAGATTGGAATTTCGGTGGGGAGATGTTTTATAACTGCCCTTTTGTCTGAAACGTAATTTGCTCTTAGAGTTGCATGGGGGCCTTATAAGGCATCTTGATGTGTGTGTGTGTGTGTGTGTGCGTGTGTGTGTGTGTGAGTGTGAGTGAGACGCACCCTCCTCCCACCCACTCACCCTCGTCCCAAGTCAAAGTGGACACGCACACACACACACACACACACACACGCAGAGAGCAAACTCTCCAAAATGACGGTGGAGAGGATATTTGATGAGCTCGGACATTTTAAAAGGTATGCAAGCTTTTTTTTTTTTTTTTATTGGTCATTTTCGTTTGAAACGGTGGCCATTGGTGGTCTTCTCATTGGATTGACTGACCACTTGATTTTAATTTTTTTTTTTTTTAACAACTGCACAGTCTCGTGTGATCCAGTGCAACCATACAGCAAATGTCGAATCTTTTGCACGAGTCAAAATATTAGGAACACCTCAGCGTGCGGCATCGGCAAGAAGAAATTGGTTGATCTCTTTTTGTTAGTCGTGTGGTGCGGCGGGGGGAGGGGGTTGTCTCTAATGAATTAAGCAAATGGAAAATGGATATTTACGTTGCATCAGCTTGTTTGGCTTCTTTTGCAGAGACATTTTGCTCCGCGGCCTTGTTGCTGACCTTAAGTGAAGTTTGTTCACTTCCAATAGCCGCATTACTGTGGGTGCATCTCAACCACCTGTTCGGTGGCTCTATGAAAAAAAATTAAAATGTGCACTCCCCTATTCAAATGCCATCATTTTTGTGATATCTTACGTCCAACCCAAGTGTGAAAAGGAGCTTTTGTTCTTTGCCTTTCAGGTTTCAGGCATGCATATACTTTGCGGCCGCCTTTCAGGCAATGGCCTGCGGGATCCACTACCTGGCTTCCGTCTTCCTGGTGGAGACGCCGAACTTTGTCTGCGGCGTTCCGTCCAACGTCACGGACGTTTTATTTGGCAACCTGAGTGGGTCCAGTCTGAACGACTTCCTGCCCGTCTTCAAAGCAGATACGGGACCTTTGGTGGTCAGGACCCCCGGCGGGGATCAGTGGGAACTTAGCCGATGCCAGCGGGCCTTGCGGCTCCATCCCAAAGACTTTACGTATGCCTTTGGCGGCAATAAATCGGTGGAATCGTGCGACGGGGGTTTTGTTTATGATCACAGTGAAGTGTATCAGAGCATTGTGACGGACTGGGACCTGGTGTGCAACCAAGCTTGGCTGGCCAAGCTGTGCCAGCCCACCTTCATGTTGGGGGTGCTGATCGGGGCGCTTGTGTTTGGGGATATCGCTGACAGGTAAGCAGAAAGGAGGTACAGTGAAACTCCTCTACAATGAAATCACGTTTGCAGCAAGAAATTTTTCACAACGGGGGTCTTTTCACTGTAGCAAATTTGAATCTCAGATGTAAACACACACACACACACACACACACACACACACACAAAACGAATGTGTGTACTCTTTATTTTTATTCCAATACATAGTGCATAAATATGAGCATACACTTATTTAACATTTCATATAGCCCATGTAAGTTTCGTTGTAGAGGAGTTTCACTGTACACATATTCCTAATTCTGAACTAGAACCATCAGACCCAAGCCCGAATTCTAACTCCAACCACTTATGCCTAACGGCACCAACCTCAAGCGCAACTTTTACCCTCGCCGTCATTTCCTAACCATGAGCCCAATCCTGAAACCCAATCTTTCCAAAGTCTCATCCCAAAAATGTGAACATCGACCCGAGCCTTAATCTCCAAACTTTTACCCGAGTGAATGTTTTATTTCTCCCCCCCCTCCTCCTCAGAGTCGGTCGAGTGAAGATCCTGATGTTCACCAGCCTCTGTCAATTTGGACTTGGGGTGTGTGTGGCCTTCTCCGCTAACTACTACTATTTTGTGGTTTTCCGCTTCCTCCTGGCCATGGTGAGTTCATTCGTGTCTTTGTGTGCGTGCGTGTCCAGTTGAGTGGAACCGGACAGGTCGGTCGCCCTTTACGAAAAATCTCTCGCAGTCCCCCTCTGCCACTCAGCTGTTGTTTTTCACATGGAATCCGACTCTGATAGTGTTTGCAGTGGCGGAACACATGCGCGTAATGCCGTACTATTCCCCGCCCCCTCTCTTGAAGGCGTGTTTTTTTTAAGCCGGATGGCCTCAAAAGCCATTGACATTTTATACGACCGATTTTTATTCCACATTGACAAGTTGCGTTTGGCAACATGACATTTGCTCATACTGACCCTTGAAGTTGAAGAACAACCGTTGCCCTCATGAACCTCATACGGGCAAACGATTTATTACCATTTGATCGGGGGCAGGGGGATAAATAGTCTGATAAATCAATTTTAACCCTGGAGAAGAACCCAAGAACCCTTTTCTTCTTTGGAAAATTAATGAAGTTGACATTAAATGACTGCTATATGTTCACTGAACACCAAAATATGTTTTTTTTTAAATATTTAATGCTTTAATCCTAATTTAGGATTAGGGCCCAATTTGACCCTTTGGGATTTAAGGGTAGCATTTGAGTAGCAGAATTTATAGGGGCCAAATTTGACCCCGCGGGTTCTCCAGGGTTAAAAGTTGTGGAAGCTCGTCTTCAATGCAATAGATAGTGCCAAGGTGGGGTGCAGCTTTCGTGCAAATGAAATTTGGGAATCGGGAACCGTGAATAAGAACGGGATTTCCTTCCCCGGACCGAGCCATATTGTACTGAGCAGCCTGCACAATGACGTGTACAGTTTCCAGTGTTGTTCCGGTTCTTGTTCAATGATCTTGTAGTCCAGAACGTCAGGTCATGGAGCGTCTTCTTCTCCTACCAGGCATCCAGCGGCTATCTGGTGGTGGTGTTCGTGTACGTGACCGAGTTCACCGGCATCAGGGTCCGCACGTGGACCTCCATGCACGTGCACGCCGCCTTCGCCGTGGGCATCATGGTGGTGGCTCTGACGGGCTACCTGGTGCGCGTGTGGTGGATCTACCAGATCATCCTGTCGCTGTGCACCTCGCCCTTCCTGCTCTTCTGCTGGAAGCTCCCCGAGACGCCGTTCTATCTCATCGCCAAGGGGAGGTACAAGGAGGCGCAGAGCCTGCTGGACACCATGGCCCGCGTCAACGGTTTGGAAAGCCGACTGAGGGTGGAGGAGCTCCTGGAGCCGGAGGAGAAGAACGTCAGAGCGCTGCTGGAGAAGGAGGAGAAGGTGGAGGAGGAGGAGACGGGACGCTCTCTCGAGAAGCTGTCCATCCTGGATTTGTTCGGCAGCTGGAGGATGGCGGGGCGCACGGGCACCGTGTGGGCCATCTGGTTCATCGGCAGCCTGGGCTACTACGTCTTCTCGCTGGGATCCGTCAACCTGGGGGGAAACCAGTACCTCAACCTCTTCCTCGTCGGTAAGGAGGCCTGCAAAATTGTTTTTAGAATAGACACGAGGTTGTTCTTTGGAGTGTTTACCGAGATGTGTGTGAGAAAAATCTCATGGGAGACCGCCAAACAGAAAAGGAGAATCGACAGCAAGTCGGAGCACTTCACTTTGTCCACATATTGGCGGGTTAGAAGAGCCTTTTAGCTTGGAGGAAAAAAAAAAAAAAATTTTTAAATAATTTTTTCCAAATTTTTAAGAGGTTAAAAAAAAAATCAT